AACTCAGGCAACTGTAAAATCACTGCTCTCCAGAAACCTTGCGTCTCTGTTAGACGACACAGGGTCACTAATTGGCAGGCTGAGAAACTTTCAAATCCGGTCCTTAAAGTCAGTCAATATGAAAAAGGATAACAAACTCCGCATTCAACTAAAAAACACACTCGACTGTTTCAGCACCAGCACCTTGGACACAAGACATTGCTGTTGACTGGTACCAATGATCAAGCACCAAAAGCACGAATGTCAACACCAAAACTAAACTAAAAACTAACTTAACCTAATGCCTAAAAGACAAGCCGTCAGAGCTATACGAACACAGAGTACAGATAAAAATTTTAATATGCAACTCCAGACTAAGTTGCTTGAGTGAAGTTTTAGGGTTGCAGTTCATATCCGGCAGAAAAAAACCAGGGTTAGTCAACTTGCGAGCGTTCATACGCAGTTCATGAAAGATCAGTACGTGAAATTTGTTGTCTGAACAAAACTAGTTAATTTATAGCGTGAGTTCAATTGACGTGAAAAATTCTTGCAAGTGAGCTAGCTGTAGAGTTAGTTTGAAAAATTTTTAAAGTGAGAAAATAGCTGTTTTAGCAGGTGGAAAACGAGTGAAAAACAAAAATTTTTCGTTTATTCAAGCATTTTCGAAACAGTTTTTTCACGCACTCGGGAAACTAATTCGCTATCTTTGGTCCTGGTGGACATCTGATAAGGAATTAATTCCCTATTGCGTGAAAATACCGTAGCGAAACAACTACTTTTTCTTACTAAAAACTACAATTTTTAGTTCTAGTTTCGAACTGAACGCAGTGTCATTTTTGATATTAATTTCTATTAATTCAATCAATCTTCTTGTTCTCAATAATTTTCCTGAATCAAGACAATTGTAACAATTTTATTGAGAATCTCTATTTATTCTATCCACAATTGCTAAAAACATATGATTGCGACATTAACACTTGTTTTTTCACGCTTGTTTTTCACGCTTGCTTATTTTAAATATCTTGAAATTCACCTTGAGTGTAAATTGAATTTTCATCAGCATATTGAAAAGGTAAAAAATTAAATTTTGCAATTCTGTGGAGTGTGTTATCAATTGAGATAGTTTCTAAATGGACGGCAATTAATATTTGTGTTTAAAAGTTATGTGCAACCAATCATCCAATATGGAGTTTTAGTTTACGCGAATACCGACAAAACAAAACTGTTAGAACTGGAAATGAAAATCTGAAGGCTAATCAGAATAATTTTTTATAAACACAGGATGGATTCCATTACTGAAAAATGATAAAACGTAAAAAAAATTTTTTGCGTACGAGTTCTGAAATTAATCAGGAAAATTATTCGAAAAGAGAACCAAGTTGATCCCTTCAGATATTCCATTACTGAACAAGAGTTAAACGAGATAATTTCAAAAAGAAAAAAAAATCAAATGATAGCTATAAAAAAACAAACACAACAGAGGGTCGTTTACACTTAAAATTAGAAAAATGTTTAATTTTGTAGTAAATTTTTTTCCCGCCCGGATCAATTTTTTGAATGGAGCTTCTCGGTTTCAATCGAATAGTTTAATCATAAATGCTTGGATAACTACGTTCTAGGAAATACGGTTTTATTGGGCATGCTTTGAGACTTTTTATTGCTCAATATGTAGAATCTGTTTCTGTTGATTTCTAGGTTATGGGTAGAAAAGACTACCCGAGAAAACAAAAAATAAATAAAATTAGTTTTTTATATAGAGAATGGTTTAAAGGTGAAACTAAAGAGGTTTTACGTTGAATAGATTTTTACTGGTAGAAGATCCATTGCATGTGAACTAATTATTTTGTTCTCCGCTTAATGAGACGACCCATGCTGGCTTAATGGTGTTCTCCCAAATGATTCTAATTTGTATCTATAAATTTTTATAAATAAGTCTGTAACTAGATATTGTTTGGAATCAATTTCTTATGATTATTATTATTAAACGCGTAGGTCAAACTTTAGTGCTGCGACGTTTTACTCCAGCAAAAATCAAACTTTCGAATTAGTTCTGATTTTTGTTTGGGCGCACGTTGTGTTGTTGTCTCTAGAAAAAATTTATACTTTCTCTTTAGCTCTTTTAAAAGAGTTGTTCTGTACAATCTGAAAAAGATCGATGACCTGAGCTCAGATTGTAAAGAAGTTCCAAGTGTAATTTTTGAAATGAAATTTTGTAAGTCTGAAAAGAGCGGTTGAGGTCAGTTCACGTAGCTCAGTTCATCGTGAACAACATCGTGAACAACATCGTGAAAACATTACTTTGGAATTAATTTGCCAAGGCTTGTTCTGATTTTCGAAAAAGTGATGGAATTATTCTGTTCGATTTAGTTTTTTTACAAGCACTGTTAGAACAATTTTTCTATAAACACTCTGATGAGAATCAATATTATGCTCTTAGAATTAAGTTTATACTTTGTATGTGACATTTTTGTAAGATAGTGGGGCTTTTCAAATTGTTACCTTGAATTAATTGTTTCGCGCGAAATTTCCTATTTTTTACCGAGTAGTTTAAGCAATGATTTTTTGTTCCGAACATTGAAAATTGCGAGGAGCTTTTGTCTTCAAAAGTGTTCAGGTTTTTTTGTTTTCCACGCAAGATCAGGAACACAAATATTTATCGGAATGGGTAGAAAAATATATGATAATAGAATCTCTTAAGTCGTGATGCGAATGACTTTTATAAAAACAGTCTAAAAATTTTTTCAGTGTCGATGAGACACACTGTGAATTTTTTTCTCGTCTAATTTCGAGCAAATAAAGCAAATATGCTACGCTTATAATAAGTTTTTTATTAGTTGTTTTATATATATATATATATATATATATATATATATATATATATATATATATATCAAGTTAAGCCGTGAAAATTTTGTTCTATTCTAGTAAAATTTCAGTATTGAAGTTTTGTGGAACCTTCTCGGGAATAAAGACTTGAACAGACCAGGGAATAAAGACCAGCAACAATTGTTTGTAAGAAATTTCGAAAAAAGTTTTGAAGGTTTTTTTTTGAGCTGATGACTTATTTCTCATTACTGTTTTATTTGTTTTATGAAAAATTTGTAGCCAAATGTTATTAATTAATTAATTAATTAATTGTAGTTCCTGCGATTCGCAGAGGAGCTATCAGTCGGCCTTAACAGTCCTGTCGAGGATAGTCCATTTGTATTATCTCCCCACATTCCAGACAGTGTTATTTTGCTGAGCGAAGCTGTTTTTTTGCGACTCAAGGCCGTTTTTTTGCATCTAGAACTTTTTACGTGGTACCCCTGTTGCAGCCAAATTTGGTCAGGTTGTGGTAGACCTGAAGCTGGAGGTCAAGTGAGAGCTTGTCCTCACACACCATCATTGCCATGGCATGGGATCGAATACACGATCTGACGATTTCAAAGTGAACGCCTTACCACTGTGCTAAGTGCCTCCTGAATCCATTAATGATTTTGAATTCGAAAATCTGGGATTTCATTAAGATCCTCTTATCACATCAGGAATAAAAAAACTACGCTATGTAAGAAAAAAATGTCTCCGCTACTTTCACAGCAACCGGCCGTCCCTATTCAGACTTTGGTCAGTTCAAAATCATTAGTGACAAAGTAATGGTCTTAAGACCGTTATTAGACGCAAAATTTCACTTGACCTTGCGTGGGGAGTGGATCTGTGTACAACGCAGAAAATAATTTGAGCAGAACTTTTTCGCAGTTCGATGTATAAACTTGTTAAAATCCTTTTTTTTTCGGTGAGATCCAAAATTTTAAGTTGAATTCTAGTGTTAATCATCGTTGTGTCAAAAAAGTTATTATTTTTCGTCGCTGATTCTCTTATTTCAGTGTGCTGATGACATTTATCTCTGGTTGCGTTTCATCTGGCTCCATCTCTGACAGAAACTCTTCATTCTGCAAGTCGACTGTTGGTTTCACATTCTAAAAACTATCACTGACTTTCCCTGTGTAATTGTCCAGTCACCATTTGGTTCTTGGACAAAACTTTCATCAATCATTGTTAAATATTGGCTCTCCTCTACTTGACAAAGTAACGTGCAGGCACTGATTCAGCTTCTGGTCAGCTTCACTTACTCCTTGATCAGATCACAATCATCAATAATTAAGCTCTGAAAACCCCAGTTGTTAATTAATACCTGAATTAGAGTTAAGCTTTCGGAATCAGCCTTGATTATCTGTGAAACAGCTCTGAGTTTCAGTACTTTCATTATGAAGAAAAAAAGTTCCCAAGGGGATAAAAGCCACTAACTTCGGACTTTATCTCTACGATTTCATCCCTTGGATTATTTATAGATGCTGATTAATATAATTTATGCTCAAATGCAAATGAAGAAGCAACTAATGTGCTTTCAATAACGTGAGCCTCAAAACCCAATTCGACAAACTTTGCTGAGTTTTCAAATATCCAAAAGTCCTGTAAAAGTGAATTACCTATAATTCAGTGCTAGAAATTACACTTTTGTAGTTTACTGATGAATCAGGGAAGATTATCAACGCGAGATCACTCGGATTTTTTTGGGTTTGTTTGTACCCAGGCTTAATGTATTCAGAGAGATCAAGCACACAAAAAAAGCTAAGCAAAAGTGAAAAAAAATTCAGAAGTTTTATGATATACATAGGTGTAGCTGTCCAACACTTTCATACAAAATTATGCTCGTCAAAAAGTATCAAGTTTGGCTGGATCAAAATTTTTGCTCAACTTTTTAAACTGGCTCCAAAATTTAATTTGAAAAAAAAAAACAAGTTTTTACGCCAAAAATTTTTCTCAAAAAATTTGCCTCCTACATTTTCTCATAGAATTAACCGTACCTGCATATTCATTTTGCTTAAGCAGCCCATAGTCGAAAAGAATAATCATGGCAATTCTTGGTCATTACCCACTTATTAAACAACTTATATCGCCGCAATCTTGTTTGAGAGTGGGTATAAAATGGGCTGACGAACTACAATTTTTAAGACTTGATTAGTATTATGTTCAAAATGGAAGATTGAAAGATTAATTATGATAAAAAACTTTATTGATCGTTACAGTTTAGTTTTCACTTCTTCTTGCCTTTCTTTCCTTTTTTTCCGCTTTTCTTTCCTTTCTTTCCTTTCCCACCTTTTCCTCCGTCGTCCTCGTCGTCTCCTTTCATCGCCTTTGCCCTCTTTTTACCCAAGGGTGTCTTCTTGCTGAAGAACTCTGCAAACTCTTTTTCATCACTCTCGAAAACTTGTGATCGAACTGAAAGCGGATTCAAAAATTCACTAGCTGTGATCGGTTTCTTAGACATTTGACTCAATCTACGGTCGGTTAGAACTGACTTGATCGCGGCTTCAATTAAACCGCCAGTGAAGCCATCGGATATTCTGGCGAGGTCGCTGATATTCAAAGCGTTTGTTATTGTTCCTCCGTATTTGTCGATCAGAACACGAAACAGGATCTGTCTGGATCCGTAATCTGGTCTTGCAACCAGAATTATCTTCTGGTATAAACCACACAGACCTTTGTGGTCGGAGTCTTGTGGTTTGTTTGTGGTTCCCACTAACAACAGCCTGTCTTCGGGTTTCCAACCCTTGAGTGTTTTCGGGAGGTCTTTTTTGAGTCGCTTCGGGTCTAGCTCGTCTTTTTTTGGAACCTTCTTTAGAAATGTGTTCTCGGCATCGTTTATAAAAATAACTGATGGCTGAAGCGCTTTTCCCACTTTCATTACCATGTGAATGAGCATTGTCAGTCCAGACTTTCCCGGGTACTTACCGGCAATCGTTTCGGCGCTGAGGTCGAACAAGTTTGCGCCTGTTTCGGTACAGATGGCGTTCACGAGTAATCGTTTTCCGACACCCTCGGGCCCCATAATTAGGACAGATTTCACGTGTGCCGCCATCTCGTGAACCTAATGTTGACCAACATAGAAACTAGTTTATTACTTGACTTTGTAGATCAGTGATATTAAAACCTTAAATTAAAGCGATTGTTTTATTGAAACGTTAAGGATATTAAAACGTCATTTATTAATTATTATTAATAATAAAAATAAACGTCTATTTATTATTAGTGATTGTTTTATTAAAACGTTTTATTAAAACGTCAAGCGCGGATCTACGATTTTCTCAAGGGGGGGGGGGGGGGTTGGATTTTTGCAAAAAAAAATCAAAAACTTTTTGTCGACCTTTTTTGAGGTCAAGCGAATTGATTTTCTGAGGTCTCCCAAAACCTTTAAAAAAACTTTATTTCGGCTAAGTTTTCTGCGCCGGAGGCAAATTTTTTGAAAAACAGGCCAAAAAACAGTCAACCAAAATGGCTATCTCAAAATTGAACAGCAGTAAACAGCATCAAAGGCAGGGGGTCGAATCCGTGAGGGCGGGGGGGGGGGGGGCGTTGAAACTTCAAAAAAAAATCAAAACTTTCCTGTCTCAAATCAATTTGGAAAAGTTTCGGAGCCGGATTAAAAGGCCTAGAAAAAATTCAAAGGTGAAAAAAAGGTTTTCACTAAAAAAAAAATCTCGTCAGAGAAACAATGACACTGAGCAGAAACATTTGTTGACTGTTTTCGAAAGTCGGACAATAGTTTTACTGGATCCAGACTTGACTTTCACGTTTTTGGTTCCGACTTTTGACTAGAAGGACTGAACTGTGTAGAGTTTTTAGGGCGATGTCCTCTTTGCAGAGTTTAAAGACATCAATTTTTGGCCAAGCTAAAATTTTTCTAAGCGCGCCTTCGGCGCCAATAACTACCAATTTAGAGCAAACGCTAAAAACGCTATTTTTGTGTTAAAAAACTTTGCAAAAACTACCCATAATGGATCTTTTGGCCAGTTTTTGTCTCAAAAATTTGCTTGCTGTGTACGAAAATTTACCAGAAAAAAGTCATTGAAGTGTGCTAGGAAAACTCGGAAAATCAACATGGTGGAACCTGATCTAAACTATATTTTATGATTGGATAAATTAAATGTTTTACCAATGTAAAGTATTTAATATTAACCAATCATGATCCATCTAACTAACAACCCACTTATTTGTAAGTGCTGAAGTTACTTGTAATTTCAGCACCAGAGAGATTTGAATTTAACTTAGAAATTAGTTGGACTCTCCCGAGCACTTCAGCAGCCGCAATAAACCAGTATACCCTAGATCTATTGAGCCTAGCAGAGACTAGTTAAACAACCTGAGACTAGATAGTATAAGAGTAAGATTAGGATCGGTATTAGACTAAGAAGTTGCACGAATCTATCCGGCCGAAAATAAGATAGCGTGACGAGCAGACGGTGTACCCTATCCGAAATTACTCTATGAGTTACACTCCAGTCCTAACTCATCTGGTGCGACCATAAGTCTCGAACAAGACCTTATTAGATTAGAATTAACCAAAATTAGATTAGAAATTAGACAAAAACATTTACAAAATGTTATACGACAATAATTTAATTGAAATGTCTCTCCGACTCAATAGATCCGAGCCAATATTCCGAACCATAATAGAACTACCCGGAATTGGAAGAAGACATCGAACCAAAGACGACATACGACAAAGTAGAAACTTGCCGTATAGTTACATGATAGTTCGGCAAAAGCCAGAACAAACTTTTATATTTCGAATACTACTTGCAATGAATTTAGATTTCCATTTGCAAACATAAAACCTTGAAGTAAATCTTCAAAATCATTTCAGGCGCTAAACAAAATTAATATTATACAATAACGATTGATAAAAAGATCTAAGATCGTTTTCCTAAAATTCTGCAGTATTATACAAAACATGTTTGAAAAATATTTATTGGAAAATAAAAATAAAAATTAGTAGCATGACAATAAATGGTTAGTAATCATAAATCATCCTGTTGTTCCAGCTTCATCACCTAAAACATAACAGCAATCATCAACTCACTAATATCATAAAATACTAAATCTTTCCTTTACACAAATTTAAAACCTCATTAAAACTTAAAGTCACTTAATTTTAAAACCAGATCATCAAGGCTTATCCTTGGATCTTAAATCATTTTCTACTTCATTACATTTTAAATTTGATCATCAAGGCTTATCCTTGGATCAAACAGAACAACTTTGTTCTCCCCCACCCACTTAATTAGTGTCTAACGACCTCAAACGTCGATTCACTACCCAACCCTTTCTAAAGACCCAAGACTAATAGAAATTTTTAAACAAAACTAATCATTCAAATTAGGATAAACAGTGAAGAACTTCGGTTATTCATCCTTCACTTGATCCCCCCTCTTACCAGACCCAGGATAAATCTTAGACTTAGTAAGTTTAAAATAGTATCTAACGAACTACTCGCGTTCTAATTATACCTGAACCTTGTGGATCGATTTACTATTCTCCAACCCTTGAACACAATCACTACCCCTAAGTAAGATTAAGTAAGTTAACACCTTAGCTTATACTAGTCACGAGAAAGTAAAAATCATTCTTCGGAATCGATATACTTTTCTCTCCAACCCTAAACAAATAGACCCAGGTTAAGCTAACCAAAAAATCGTAAGAACTAACAGTTTAGGAAAATAGAAATCATTTAACAACCTTTTGCACCCGTCATCCTAAACCTTATGTCATTTAAAAACCTAGGGAATAAACAAACAATCGTTTTACACAATTGTGAAATAGATAACAAAAAATACGACCTTGTAATCACACCTCATACACAAACAGTTGGATACATTCGAACAAAACGACAAACACTAAAGAGAAAAATAATCACTAAACAAAGACAAATAACACGAAAAAGATTTTCAAAAAATCGAAACGCATTTTCAGAATCAGAAACCAACAGTTTAGACGAACTCTACAAACTAAAAGAATCAATAGATAAAAATTACCCACAACACGATCAATTATATTTTTCTGACTCAGAAACAACTTCAAATTCATCACAAAGAGGAAAAAGAAGAATAAAAAAGCAGTATAAACACAAACCAGTACATCTATACAACTGGAATCAACCAATTCGACACATTAATAATTACATATTAACAGTCATCGAACGAAAAAATGAGTTCAACGCACACCCCAGGTGACGAAACTCCAGATGATGATGAAATCTTTCCTTTTATAGTAGATGCAGATACTGATAGAGGACAACACATATTTTGTCAAAATTTACTCGTAAATTTATTTGAACCCGGAATCAGTCCATGTAAAACAGAGTTCCCCGATGTAAAAATCAAAAGACAAATCATAGATCACTATCTAAAAGATATATGCAACATAACACAACAATATGGAATCTACTCTATAGAATTCACTTCCCCAAACCATAATAATAGAACATACACTATTCAAACAGACGACCTTGATTTAGAATTTTCAAAAGTTTTTTCAGAATATATAAAAAGCATACAATACCATAACTCACAAAGAGCAAACTCCATTTTCACCAATGAAGTTTTCGCACTAATATATAGTTATATTTCGATATTAGAAAATGAACTCCCATTAACAAATGTCTCACCGACAGAAACATCTAAACATTTAAGAGTACGACATGAAATCACACTACTCTCTAGTTATTTAAACATCATTAAAGAAAATTTCACGAAAGACGACGTTTCACAACATACCAAACACGATTTACAAAAAATTTTAGCATGGTTCATAATAGATTATTTTACACACAATATTGATTTAATTGCACAAGCAAGAAAAAATTTTAGACCCCAAAACTCGAACGATGATACAGCTATCACAGAACAATCAGATTATGTTTGGGACCCCGAATGGTCTCATCCCGTATTTATAAACTTTCCACAATCAATCTCAAGTCAAGCAATAGGTACAATATCTTACATAAGAGATTATGTAAGAGTAATACCATTAACAATTGATGCAACACCATTAAACTATAATACATTTTTACCCGATACACAAAATAATAGTTTAAACTCTACAGTCATACACAATGAAAACCTCAATGGAACTAGGAATCTTACTCAACAAGATATACAGACACCATCACACTTCATAAATGAAGAAATTGTACACACAACAACTACACAACAAAGTATTTCACCAATACGCCCAAATTTAACAACACCAAGAAATACAAATCCTTCACAAACACAGGTAACCTTACAATCAACCGTTAAACCTTCGGTTGCCCCTAAATATTCACATATGGATTACCAAACATACAAACCCATGACAATACCATCAAAAACACGCAAAACATTCACTAGAAACAACTTTGCAGACCATAATTATAATTATACACATCCATCAAAAACAAATTATAAACCACAAAGAAATTTTAATCAATATACAAAACCTCGAAACTGGGATAACCCAACGGCCCAATATAATTCCACAAATTTTCAACCAAATCCTCCACAGGATCGCAGTGAAAATTACCCATTTTTTCAACAAAATAAAAATAAAAAACAAACATCTTATCAAATGGATTATTTATCCTCAGATGAAGATTTCTTACAACCAGATATATTTGCACCAAATACTCAAGAATATCGTAGACAAGGAATACAGAAAACACGTACAAACCATAGAAATTTTTCTCCACAATCAATAGATGCACAATATCAACAACCAATTCAACAACCAAATCCAATTAATATACAATCTTTTCAACCAATTCAACAACAAAATCCAATGACTACACACTCGTATCAACCATCACAAATGCAAAATGAAATACCACTCCCGTATTATCTTCAACAACATGAAATAACAAGAAACCAACTTTCAAATTTTTCTCAAATGCCAAATGCAGCTGAATCATTACAAATGACAATGAATCCATACCTTATGGGTGGATCATCAATAACATCAAATAAACCCTTAATGGTTTTCACAGGAACAGACCCTGAATACTCTGTAGAAGATTACTTAAATGCAGTAACAGCAAATTTAATTTTAAATATT